ATGAACTCAAATTGTGAACAAAGGGCGGTATGCGAATAATTCGTCCTTATTACCATCTCTGATCGGCATGTGCGTTCACCTTGAGGCATGAACGGGTACCCGTAATTTCCCCTTTTGGCGGCTGCTAGCAAACGCTTAAATACATGGGGGCAATACGGTGGGGCTCACGATCGGGGCGTCGCACAAAAAAAGGATAATGTTTTCTACTACGTCGTGTAGTAAATTTAAAAAGCATGTAGTTATTTAATGTTTAATCTTACATTCCATTTTGTAATTAAAACGCAATATAACAATATTAAAATACTACTACGTAATAATACCAGTACTCGTGTGAGGGTGTCACCCTTTAGGGTCAAGAGTTTCTAGGCCGACTTCAATACACGAAATAAATATTAATTTACTCTTGAAGAATATATTAATTTGTTATTTGGTAAGATTATAATATAAAACAATAAAATATTTATCGATTTAATAAAATCTTATGAACTTTGTTTTTCTTTCTATTACATTAAAAAATTTTGAAAGAAATATACACTTACATTATTTGTTAGGCCTGTTTATCTATATATTCGTTGCCACGTGTTGCCCCTCAACTTTTTGGCACAAATGCACAATTGATAAAATTTCCTCTAAATACAAGTAACTAATGGTATTTCCCGTAATAAATCAGATTTTTATCTGAAGACTCAATGCTTGAATTTAGCGCGGCGCCAATCTTCTTTCTTATACAGAAATTATTTTTATGTGTTGAAGAATTTATGAATTTAGATACTTGAGTCAATATGTAGACTCGAGTAAGTAGTTTTTTTTAATACTTTCTACTATCATTCACTATCGTGCCAATTTTTCACCCTAATTTTGGTGTTAGATAGCTTTACTGTCACCGACTTAAATTTGATTCTGAATTTTTATATTATAATAGAAAAAAGTTCAAAGAATTGATAAAAACATTATTACAGATGGTATTTTTAGAACGATTTAATAAAAAGGACTATCAATAACTTTTGTAATCTATATGTCTATGCTTATGACATGTAATACATTTATTAAATGTCATAAGCATAGGTAATCAGTGGAATATTTCCCAAGAATGATTTATAAACATAATCTATAATAAAAATTAGCATAAGTTCAAGGGCAATAAAAGTAAAAACAAGTTTTGTTAAACTTGTATCAGAGATTCAACAAATGAAAGTGAGTATGGAAATCGTATACCTATATAAATAGAGGGTAGGTAGATAAGTACTTAAGATATATGCCAATTATATTTATACAATCTATAAATTAATAATAGAAAGCTTTTCATAATAATGTATAAAAATTTAATAACTAATTAATTCTCATTGGCAACCTTTATGATTCCATCAAATGTATTATTCTTTATTTAATCAACCATGGAATTACAAAACCTATTCCTAGTGGCCACCTATAATATTATTGGCCTAATAATATTATAGGTGGCCACTATAATATTATTAGGTCAATAATAATTGGCCACTAACCTAAAATATTATTTATAAAATTCAACTATAGATAATTTGTTTGTCTTAGATTATTATATTTTTTAACATTTCATTTAATTATATATAGGTATTCATTATTTATACCCAGTGATCATTTTTAAATTAAATAGAAGATTGTATTTGGAAAATGTTTAATAAAAATTTCAGAGTTCATTGTAAATTTTAAATCTTTAAAATAGTTTACAGTATGAGTTTTAAATTTATTTTAAGTGTCTATCTCATGATCATATCATTGCAATTACTTTGCAACTATTATTCTTTTACTATATTATAAAGACAGCAAAATTCTTATATTTTTTGTAATTAATTATCATGAAATAAATATTTAAAAAAAAGTGTCTAATGAACTAATGAAAATTATCACAAGGGTACAATATGAGACCTGAGCCTCTAGACAAGTGGCAAGCGAATTCGTCGAAGGAATCGACATCGCTAGCGAGGCCATGAGATAGAATGAGATAGCAACGCTGGGTGACTATTCCAACTCACGGATTCACTAGCGATGTCGATTCCATCCACGAATTCGCTTGCTACTTTTGTCTAGAGGCCCTGTTAACTAATCATTCCCATTAATTGCCCGAACTTAATGAAGTAATTACCTTAGTTATTATATAACTAGCGACCCGCCCCGGCTTCGCACGGATGAAATGCTAAAACATGTGTTATTTACGACATCACATTAAAAAACTCTAAAATAATTATTGTTTCTCTACTATATTATGCATATATTATATATATAAACCTTCCTCTTGAGTCACTCTATTAAAAAAATGGCATCAAAATCCGTTGCATTGTTTTAAAGATCTAAACATACATAGGGACAGACAGACAAGAAGCGACTTTGTTTTATACCATATAATGATAACATTGAAATTATATATGTCTACCAAATCTTATATATCCAATAAAATAACCATACAAAAAATAATACCAATGTATACCAAGATAAAAATCATAAATAATATCACTGACATGTGACACAGTACCATTCATTTCCAAACTAAGTAGAGTTAGAACTATTATTTTAATTAACCCTTTTTGTATTTGTAAGTCTGGTAAGATTATATGTTTAAAATCTAAATATGAGATGCAGGAATTCATCATAAGTGAAATAAATATAAAGTTTGGGGGGGGAAGGGATTGTTAGCAATGGAGTTTGACAACCCCATTGCTAGCAATATGCCTTATTAGGTCGACCTCCACGTGGTTCCCCCTGGAAACCATCGTGAACAATTCTTGTTAAATTTGTCACAATGGGCTAACTGACCTACTTCATCCTCATATATCATCCTTCACTGGTGCCCCGCCGGTGTATACCGATAGCGCGGGTAGGGTTACCATTCCATTATCATGCTTTAAAAAAAAAAAATATAAAGTTTGGCAGTTTGTAACTACTAAAGAAACAATTAAGTAGTTATCAATTTCTATAAATATTAATTTAAACATATCTATCACTATTTCATGGCTCTTATAGTATGAGGGTAGACAAAAAGAATCTAATGCTCAATGCTTTGATGTAAAAAAAAAAAGAAAATGCATTGTCGACGAAATACATAGACATATATTAGAGTGGAGGCTGGGAGGGTTGTTGTGTCACCCTAGAATTTCCAGTGTATACCGTTAGCGCAAGCGGGGCTACCACTCCTTTATCATCCACCAGAGAATTTTCTGATGATAACCTGACAATGACCCAGAATCATAATCTTAAATATGCTAATGCTAAAAAGACACTAGAAATAGAGTATACAACCAAATGGATTTTTTTTAACCAGCTATATTAATAGTTATTATCAAACATGCTAAAATGTCTTACAAATGTATTAAAAATATGAGTGTAATGTGAAGTTGAACATGAAGTTTCATATTTTAGGTAAACATTGAACTCGACTCATAGTGACCTTAATAAAGTTTATTTTTTATTTTATATCTTACATGTTTTAGTCAGTTTTAAATATAATTTTTTATCAGAATGTGATTTTGTTTTTTTTTTTGTATCAATATGTTAAAAAGACCTTTTATATAGATTTATGTCCATCAGTATTTATTATGCAAAGGTAATTAGGTGAAAATCACTTTTAAAGTGCCTAATGTTATTGGAGATATATACCTATTACCAAAATCAAGCTATAATATCATCATTGAAATAGTACAAGTTTTCAAGATATTGTACTTAAGAATGGACAGTTGTTTATTTATTACTTAGAGAACGATTATTTTGATTTTTTTACTGAAAATGACACAATCATATACTTGATAGAAATTTCTTTTTAATAGGTGACAATGGAATAATAACCCTGGCTACAGTATATGCTGGCGAGGTACTAGTGAGTAATGATAGGTGATGATGAAAAAGCTGGTCAGTAGGCTTGTCATAAATCATCAGGGTTCAATAAAAAATATTAACCACAGATTTATTCTACCCATATCACCAATATATAATATAATTTTATACCAATCCTGACCTATTTTTGGAAATTGGTATAAAATAAGTTAAAACGAAGTGGTAATCCCATCTGTGCTATCAATATACACATGCAGAATGCCAGTGAAGGATTCCACAAGAATTAATTATGATGGTTCACAGAGAGAACTGTATGGAAGTCAACCTGATTAGATATATTTCTAGTAATGGAATTGTTAGATCCTATTACTAACAATCTCTATCCAACTTATATAAGCAGGTAGGACTTAATTCAGTTGGTATAGAAAGAGCAGGGCAGTTAAAATGCACTTTACAGTAAATATTATTTCATATACCAAAGGGAGACTTTGTATGAAAGTTGTCTTTCTGTGTATGAAAGGTATCTCTGTCCCATATATACATGTACTAAAAAATATGCAAATGATACTGATAAATTCAGATATTGCATTACATATTATTAGTGGCTTTTATATTTAGTTTCTTCTTAAAATATTACAAATATATTGACATTACAACATACACAAAAACCAAGTATCAACTTCCCTTTCTAACATAAAGCAGAAGACTAAACCAAGAACAGGACAAAGATATTTCTACATTTGTTGCTATTTCAATGTCAAACAATGAATTAAATGTCTGTAGGTTAGGAATTGTTTTAAAATAATATATTTAATGGATGTTTATATCTGTTGATCTCTTGCTTCAGTCCATGGTACAATTACAATTATTGTAATTATCATTTTTTGACAGTCATTAAATACCACAAAGGGAACTAAACAATGGAAGAACAAGATGTAACCGTGACAACCAGTAAAATGTAGATTTCTAGTTGTCATTGTTGTTTATTGGCGAGAACTTTAACTTCGTATATTTATAAAACAGTTCTATAAATTAATGGAGGTGATCCAAGTATAGACGCCGCCATAAATTGTGTACCTACTTGCAATAATAATTTCGAATGATACAGGGTTATCTTGAACGTCAGTGCATAAAAAAAGATTTGTTAACCTTTACGCTGTTGTCGCAATGGATATAATTAATACGAATATACTCACAGGATAATACATCCCCTGCGGCGGCAAAAAAAAGGCCCCTGATCCCCACAGCTTGCCGTTTGTATTTACTTTTTATTCCACAAAAATACACTCCACGTCCGCCCTTATTTGAGCGTAAACTTTCACAAGCACTAACTTATAAATTCGAGGTAATCATGAGTATTTATGATTAATTACAATTATTAGTACTAAAAATAACCAGGGTTGTTTAACTTTTTAGGTTATGTAGATATAGCGCGGAGGAACGCGCTGTAGCACTGAAAGCGGTTGATGTCGATGTGCAACAACGGACGGGCACGCGTGGCTACTCAACGAGTCGTCCGTGTACAAAATCGCAGCCCGTGCGACAAGGATAGACAACACTCGGTTTATGTCGGCTCTTCGATAAAGATAAACTACAATTATCTTTATCACACATACAACACACATTCATACAACTCCAATGGGGTGGTGGTGTGTGGGCAATCAACAACGAAACGATCGTTTTCAATTCAACTTTACAACCCTCACATTACATTTTCTTAAACTTAATCTTGAAATAAATGTGTAAACAGTTAATAAACTATATGTCTTGCCAATAATAAATACCTAAACTAATTATATTTTGTTGTAAATATCTTTTGTTTTTTTTTTTTCCTTTATGCTTTAAATAGCTACCTACTTAAATTATAATTATGAAAAAGTTTTTTAAAACTCTAGAATGAGTAAAAGATTAAGTAAGGGCGTACTTAATACTTATCGTCTTTAAAATATTTATCATCATCTGAATTTACACTATTTAGTAGACACTCTTACTCTACTAAGAACACTAAAGTACAACAAAAAAATTGTATAACTGTTAAAATACGAAAGATCCCTATTTTTTTGTATGTGAAATATATATAAAAAATACAAAATTACACATTTTCCTAGCTTTGATGTGAAGTTTGTAAATGTCTATACCAACCTATATAGACGCAAATAATAATTCATGTAAACGTTGAGCGAGTGAGAGGCTGCACAGTAGCTGGGCTCCCCTATCGGTCCCTGTCGCGGTGCCGAGAGTGGTTCGGATCAATGAATCGTTCCCGGGCCCCCGATCCCAGCGTCATCCCAACCTCCATCTGCGTTCCCTCTCATTTCGCATCTACCTACCTATTTACTCTTGCATGGGATTGCCATGGCGATTCAATACCCACGTGAAACGATGAAAATAGTAGTTCAAGACATTTATAATTCACTAGCTAAGCCTGCGATTTTATCCGCATGGTAGTCGTAAATAACATTGACGGAATCTGATTTGAAATTTGCATTCGTCATGCGTTTTCAGGAATATCTTAACAAAATATTTTTTTTGTTTTGATTATAAGATATTATTTGATAGTAACACCATCTAGGGAATATTTTTGTAAGCAACTGTTTAACAAATGCCTAATAATTGTCTTTTCGCTACAAATTTCTTATATTAAAAGAGTCAAGCGGTTCCCTATGATTCACTCAAACAATTAATTTTTGTCTTCATATAATGGGTAGACTTATCAAGTATAAGGTAAATTATAAATATGTAGTGAAATCCAATCGGTCGAGACGAGGAGATTTATAATTAATGGGGATGAATAGCCCCATTGCTAGCAACATTTGTTAACTAGACTATTTTCTTACGGTTTATCTAGAGACTAACTTGGTTAAGTACTGGTGAAATTATCACAATAAACAAACTGATCTGATTTTATCCTTACCTATTAATCATTGGTACAAGTATCTCGCCAAGCGTATCAATAGCGCAGACGGGCTTACCATTCCATCATCACCCAATAAAAAAATCCGATCGGCCATTTTTTTGCAATAATACAGATAACGAACAGACAAAAATGTAAAATGTATAATTAGTGGATGGTATAAGTTAAATATTTCAAAAGAAATGTAAATAAAGTGTATATGAAAAGCATATTCTAATATTTATTCTATGATAAAAATTCTAAAGCGGGTGGAATTATTTTAATATTATTTATGTGTTTATACAATTTGCAATTAGTAAACTGCCAAGTGTTTAATCATAAATATATGTTTACAGAATATTATAATCTGGGTAAACAAGTCTCGGGCTCCCTCTCTCGTTAAGTTATACTAGGTAGCATGAATGTGTGTGTAAAAAATTATTTATCTTTTGTAAAAACAAATCTAAAATATTTATAAAACCATAAGTACTGTAAAATAGAAACTAAATAGCAAAATTTAAACTATGTACGTGTATTACTTTTTTTCACGGACTACGATATCTTAGATGGCGGAAACCCCAGTTAAAACGATTTAATTAATTATTATTTGCCTTTAATAATTAGAAGACCATAATACACGTATATAGTAGATACACTATTTAAAAATCTATAACCGTTTTTATTAATAATTTCAGTCGTTACGAAATTGAATAGACCTACACATGAGTGAACCTTATCGATTGCAAGATAAATCATCAAAATCAATGAAAAATTTGCAAATACCGTCGCAAAAGATAAATGAGTTTTATAAGTATTTGATATTTTATAAATACCTATGATTTAGATGACAATATTAGTCGATTATAGTAAATAGATAATATTGAATTGATAAAAATAAAGAAGGACCGAGATAGAACTTAGAAAGTATCAGACAACTTTTGCAAATGACAGGACTGCTAACTTTATACTCATTGATTTTGTCGTCATCAAACTTTTTTATTCCTAACAGTAAGAATGTCTCCTAATAGATACGAAAACTGAACTAGAAGTCCCTAATGAAAATAAAATCAATTATTAGAACCAGTTTGTTATCTCAATATTTTATTATATATATAGATAGATGAAAACTAAGATTTTAGTAGAAAATTATATAATTTTCATTCCATTTTATTGAATAGGACTACTCAAAATACTAACAGTCTCTCTGACCTCCACAACAGTGATCTCCACAACTTTTTTTTTTATTGTCAGGATCATTAAACTTTTTTCTAAAAATATTTTTATTTTAAATCTACTTTTATGGTACCTATTCAGTTATAAAATTTGTTAATATTAGTCACCCTACTTACGTAAAATACTATTTTTTGTTTTATATCTTTTAATTCTAACTTATAAATATAAAGCAATAATTTATTTATTACATTAGTACTATTTCAAGATTTATTCTTTATTACTTAGATATTTTATAGGTGTATGAAAATAAAAATAATTATTTTTCAAACATCATTTTTATTTTGTCTGACAAAGACGCAATTGATATCATTACTTAGAATAATAGAAATTCCTTAAGTACCTTCCAATTATAGAACCTTAGAAAGGTATTTGTGATATTTTATCGTGTGATGAACTTTCATCACCGTTGTAAGGCGTGGGCGAATCTACCCACAGCTCGGTAAAAATGTCCATGCCACTATTTCATAAATATGTATCTACTATTAATAGTTCTAGTAGATTCGATTATTTACTAGATAACCGAACTAGTTATGTGCAACATAATTATAACATATATTTTTTTGTAATATTATAATACAGTTTCACTATCGCCATCTATTATTGTATGTGTACAAGACATTTTTAGTTACTTTATACCAGCTGTACCATCAAGTCGTGCAGTTCTATAGTTTCAAAACTTTCCGCTAGATGCCATTGCATGTCACTAAATAATTTTTAACTTTATAATTAAATCGTTAAGCATTTAATAAATAGGTGATTTTGTTATTTACATTATTGTTTTACACATAAGTATGGTTTTAAGTAAAATCTATTATTCCTACCTATCCCAACCGAAAAGGTATATGACGCAAACGTAAAAAAAAATATTTACAAACAATAACAATACAATAATAATAATACACTTAAATTTACAGTAATAAATAGGTAGCTAATACCTATGTATAATATTAATTACCTACATCACACCTTTATTAGGTACCTATTACTATTTGAAGAATGTTTGGCTTATAGGTAGAGTCGCTATAGATGAAATTGATCGTAATTAACAACGAAGCTGACGTGGGAGATAGATTTTTGTACATTACAAATAGCAAATGGATATACGATGAACATAAGAAAGAGGTTTATATATCCTGTGTACACCTAGCTGCAGCTGTTGGGAAAAGGGATAAAGTTGAGGGGAAATGGAGGGAAATGGTTATTAGTAACGTGACCTAGAGTAGAGGTTCCTTAATTTTTAAGATAACGGAACGCCCGTATCAAACAATTATAAATAAAAAACGGTGTAATTTAAATAAAAACAAAATATTTTAAAAGTATAACATTTTATAGTTTCGTTTAATTTTTAATGTGAAAAATGAAATTGTTTCACTGTATAAATAATTTCGCGGAACCCTGGTGACTTTTTTACAGAACCCCTAGATTCTGAGGAACCCACTTTAGAAATTACTGGCCTAGAGCACCACTGCTTGCTAGCAAGCAATATATCCTCTTAGATCGACCTCCACGCAATTCTTCCTGGAAACCGTCGTTAATTTCTAATGAATTCGTCATGATGAACCGACTGAACTGCATTCAACCTCATCAATCAAACTTCATTGGTTAGCGTAACTAATAGCCCAGTCGGTGTTGCTATTCATTGTCGTTCAATTAAAAAAAACTACAGCTATGTATCACCAGGATTGTCACATGGGCTCTTAAACTCAGATAAATCTTGTCTCCGCAGAAATTTGAACGCTACAAAGCTAGCATAAGGCTTTTATTTTAGCTACTTGCTGTATATATTACAGAAATAGGCAGAACGGTCGAGTAATGTCAAATACTTTTCGAGTTCGGACCTGTTATTTACCATTATCTATTTTATCAATTACTATTTTATTGCACAAACTTATATAAATAATTTATTTAATCGTAATAAAATTTATATGAGACAAAAACGGTTGTTAACCCTATTGCAAAAAGCAAAATTGTTTCTGACTTGACTAGAATATCGTAGCCGGCAGTAAAATATATTTTTAGTGTAACATGGACGTAACATAAACAAAAAATTATAATAATAAATACAGCTGAAATGAGAATTTCTTCTTATTTCAAATCGGTTAGTTTATACGTATCAAATTATAGCTATTTTATTAGCCATACTTGTTTTGAAATTTGGCTTTTCAAATAAGTTAATAGTCCATTTGGTGACAAATGTATCTAATAATCGCTTATAGATATGGATAGTACTATATTATTTTATAATTGAATTAATACTGAAGCGTGGACATAATGGTCATTCAGTTTCGTTCAATAGATAATGCGTGAAAGACGTAATGCGTAAACATCAATCCATTCTTACAAACTTTTGCACTACACTAGGTGTTTTCCGCGAGTTCGCCTGCATTAATCAGTACATGAAGGATCCT